TAGTGAGTCACACATCACAGCTCATGTTAATGTGTTGTGCGGATCCACATTGAAATCTATAGATGCACACAGATAAAGTGCAATAAAATAAACACTTAAATGTGTGTTTTGGATGTTTTTTTCCACTAGACTGAATGAAGACATGATATGGAAGCAAAACTGGCCAGTGCATGTAAATGGTTTCATTCTAATATTCCAGGTTGTCTCTCATTCAGGGGTGTGCGATATTGACAGAAAAATTGTATCTCGATATTTTCTGTGATTTTTATCGATAACGATAATTAGAGCGTGTTATTGTGCTGGTATCTTAAGGTCTGCCGTGGACAGCGGACTCCTAAAGTTTTTAATATTCGTCATATTCTGTGTGATCAGTTCACACTGATAGAAATTAATCTTTTTCAATAAGTTTAAACTGATTTTTACCTTTATAAAGCCATTCTTTCTAAATGTGTCCATTATCTTTTGAGTCAAATTCTTACATTTAATCAGTGAATTAGAATAATAAGACATTTGGGCTGTTACCAAGCAAATTAAATCAGTATTAATAATTAAATCATTATTAAATCAGTTTAGATGTGTTTACACACAAGACATGAATGCATTTAACCTGCAGTTACTAATGCATAAATAATGTGTTGATATATTAAACATAAAACCTTGAATACTGATATTTGAAATCATTTAAATAATAAAAAAGAAACTTTAAATGTGAAATAAATCACCAGTAGGTGGCAGCAAGTCACTGTTTAGGGATGCACAGAAATGAAAATTCTTGGCCGAAACAGAACAAAATAAACGCTGGGCCGAATACCGAACACGGTTTTTCGAGTTTTTCCCCCTATGTATTTTGCCAATTTTTTTTCTTCACCATTGCATAAATTAAAAAGCCAAAATGTGCTTTCTACTGTTTTGTCTTGCTTTTCAAAAAAATAAAATAAAAATAAATTACAAAACAACAATTTTTCATTATTAAATCAGTTTAGATGTGTTTACACACAAGACATGAATGCATTTAACCTACAGTTACTAATGCATAAATAATGTGTTGATATATTAAACATAAAACCTTGAATACTGATATTTGAAATCATTTAAATAATAAAAAAGAAACTTTAAATGTGAAATAAATCACCAGTAGGTGGCAGCAAGTCACTGTTTAGGGATGCACAGAAATGAAAATTCTTGGCCGAAACAGAACAAAATAAACGCTGGGCCGAATACCGAATACCGAACACGGTTTTTCGAGTTTTTCCCCCTATGTATTTTGCCAATTTTTTTCTTCACCATTGCATAAATTAAAAAGCCAAAATGTGCTTTCTACTGTTTTGTCTTGCTTTTCAAAAAAATAAAATAAAAATAAATTACAAAACAACAATTTAAAAATATGTAACACTGAACATTTTTAACATTCTAGCAGACACTATACCAACAAAGTACAATTTAACTTAAAATTAATAAGTTAAGGCCATCAGACCCTCTTCTTGAATCAGGCATGTATTTTTTTTATTTAATTTTTTTTACTGTACAATTAAAAGCAGCCTTGCTGAGCAGAAGAGACTTCTTTTAAAACATTAGTAAATATTACAGATCCTAATTTGAACACTGTGTGAATGTTAAAATAAATGTATTAAAACAGAGCTGTTGTAATGATTATCATCATTATTATTGTCTTTTTATTTTATTTTACAGAACAACAGTAAAATTACAATACTAACATTTATGAGTTCTTGCTTTTTCTAAACTTTTATTTTGGCGGAAACGCGCAGGAAGACCTCAGTGCTTCTTTTTGTTGACAGCAGATTTATAAATGAGTCTCATTACGAATACGTCGCACGTATCGCATTGTCACATGTCTTGTAAAAATTCATAAAAATGTGACTGAGCAGCGGACGACTGTATCGGCGCAGATTTTCCTCGCGCTTTGGACTTTGAATCCTGGTTAACAAGCAGATCTGCTGCGATCTCGTGCAGCGCTGTCAGAATACATGCGATGTGTGCGTGTATTAGAAAACATAACGTTCTGTAGTTTATTTACTAATTGTTTAAGGCCATTTCTCGATTCCAATCATCATACAGTAACCAGCAACAATCACCCGTCTTCTTCTCATCGAAGACATGCGAAGCAGTCCTAAACAGTCTCTCGCTGTCGGTGCTTGTTATGATCTTTGCGTCTTTCTCCGACAGTTTTAAATGCTTCCACACCGCTGACGTGTGTGCTGCATTATAAAGAGTGCGCACCTCTCACTCTGCGCTGGTTTGATTGTTAGTTGCTATTCTGTCTTTTCGCTTATTCGGCCAATAATTTCGGTTGCAGAACATTCGGTGCGTCCCTATCACTGTTAATAAGTGAGTCATTGCGATTGAACCGAATCATTTAAACGGTTGATTCATTCAGGAACGAATCACCGTCATGTTGCTCAGAGATGCAGAACAGTGCTGTAGCTGTGTTTGGAATTATTTCTGTTGTTGAAATAGTGCAGAAACAGGCAATGTGGCGTCTAAAACCGAAGGCAGTTAAATAACTTCTTGTTTCTTCAACGGTTGTAAAAAAAATCAGTGTTATATTTGTTATCATGGAAATTTTTGGAGATCGAAACGTCACTTTGTTTGGTATTGATTAACTATATGAAATTATATAAATATACACATTTTCTGTCCCCATATCTTGAATTTTGAGACCATTCTAAATGCATTTTATTAGACTGACTCATTCAGAAAAGAACACACTCTAAATGCGCACACGCACTAGTCTAGACTTCACGTAATGTATGCGTGCGCTCTGTAGGGATGTGTTTTGAATGGTTTTTGCAAAATACTTGATGATGTCAAATCACACATCATTAAAACAACAATTATGATATTATCACAGACGATATATATCGCACACCCTACTCTCATATGTGTCCCTGCAGCACAAAAGCAGTGTTAAGTCGCTGGGGGATATTTGTAGCAATAGCCAACAATACATTGTATGGGTCACAATTATACATTTCTCTTTTATGCCAAAAATCATTAGGATATTAAGTAAAGATCATGTTCCATGAAGATATTTTGTAAATCTCCTACCGTAAATATATCAAAACTTAATGTTTGATTAGTAATATGCATTGCTAAGAACTTCATTTGGACAACTTTAAAGATGATTTTCTCAATATTTAGATTTTTTTGCACCCTCAGATTCCAGATTTTCAAATATTGTCCGATCCTAACAAACCATACATCAATGGAAAGCTTATTTATTCAGCTCTCATGTGATGCATACATCTCAATCTTATGACTGGTTTTGTGCTCCAGGGTCACATTTAATGAGCTTTGAGTGAGGCATTGAAAGCTGTAGTATCAGATGAATTCGATCATGTCAGGCCATACAGTTCATGCTGCTGTTTGAGGCGATCGGTGTGTGTTGTGTAACGAATGCCGGAGCCTGAGCGGGAACCAGCTCAGTGGAGTACAGGAAACAGGAAGTGCTCGAGAGGAGCTCAGGTGACAGAAGGAAGCTCTGTTTGGATGCCTAGTGAGGGCACTAGTGTGCTCCGTGTGAGATGAGACGCCGCTCTGTTGCTGTTTTGTCCAGATTGTAAGGCAGCGCTGTGTTTGAATGCTTTTGAAGAAGGGAATCCCAGAATGCATGTTATGTAAAAAAACAAAAAGTGTTGCGGTCAGTCAGATAAACACTCGTCCCGCAGCACATGCGTGTGCATTAGTGTGTGTTTGCATCAGCCTGCAGCTATGTTAGTCGAGTGGAAACACGGTCCGTCTCTGTTCTCAGAGCTCTCATGATTACTGCACATCTCTCTCTCACACACTTTTCATCTCGCGTTTATTTGAATAATTTCATGATTTGTCTGAATGTTCACTGTACAAATGTTTGTGTCACTCCGTTGTAGCACAACCTCCTAAAACCTTAAACTGCTTGAAATACCAACTGGTTTAGTGTGTTAACAAGCGGTGATCAGTAAGGCCTTTAGTATTTTCATCTCATAAATGTGTTCGGGCTTAAAATAATGATTCTGTCATAATGACGGACGCGTGTTTAATTATCTATCAGTTTTTATGATTCACTCATACATGTTGCTGATAGGAGCAGATGGGAGGTGTGTATGTGTGTGTTTTTAATGGATGTGTGTGTCTTTTGTTGTTCTGCAGGGAGATTCAGCTGCTGAGACGACTACAGCACAAAAACGTCATCCAGCTGGTGGATGTGCTGTACAACGAAGAGAAGCAGAAAATATATCCTTTGTGTGCGCGAGTGTGTGCGAGTGTGTGCGAGAGCGTGTGTGTGTGTGTGTGTGTGTGTGTGTGTGAGAGCGAGCATGGATGCATGTGTGACGCAGAAATAACTGAACATGCTGTTCTGTTCTGTGCTGCGTCAGCTCAGCATTCAGCCTCTACTTTACACTCACTGTCTTAAAGGAATAGTTCACCCAAAAATGAACGTGTGCTGTAAATGTGCTCACTCTCAGGCCATGCAAGATCAGGATGAGTTTTGAAATGAATACAAATGTTTGTAATAGTTAGTGGATGATAATAAGGTCACTCAGAGTGATTGGCTGTTGCTGGTGTGTTGGCTCCTTGACCGCTGCTGCGTCACGTATATGGTGATGGAGTATTGTGTCTGTGGAATGCAGGAAATGTTGGACAGCGTTCCAGAGAAGAGATTTCCAGTATTTCAAGCTCACGGGTGAGATGCTCAAACACCAGACATCAGATAAACACACACTTCTCTGAAAACCAGTGTCTCTGTGCATCACTATCGCCACTCTGATGCATGTTTGATGGGTCGTACAATTTCCATCTTGTCTATTTTTAGCCTCTTGATATTGGTTTGATTTCTGTCATTGCATTTGTATATGTGACTCTGGAGCACAAAACCAGTCATAAGGGTCAGTTTTTTGAAATGTAGATTTATACATCATCTGAAATCTGAATAAATAGCTTTCCATTGATGTATGGTTTGTTAGGATCAGACAATATTTGAAAATCTGGAATCTGAGGGTGCAAAAAATTCTAAATATTGAGAAAATCATCTTTAAAGTTGTTCAAATGAAGTTCTTAGCAATGCATATTACTAATCAAACATTAAGTTCTGATATATTTACAGTAAGATATTTACAAAATATCTTCATGGAACATGATCTTTACTTAATATCCTAATGATTTTTGGCATAAAAGAGAAATGTATAATTGTGACCCATACAATGTATTGTTGGCTATTGCTACAAATATCCCCCAGCGACTCAACACTGCTTTTGTGCTGCAGAGACACATTTGTAGATTTGTGTGTGCCATTCGAGTTCGTTTTAACTGAGGTTAACTTGCGTTACAAAGCAGTGGCCTGGTTTAGGCCTGAAGTGTTTTTTTCAAATTCTAAGACGTTAAAGAGACTTAAACTAAGCAGATTTGAATCTAGCAAAACCGGTACAGTCTTCATTTTTCTTAAAGAGTTTGAGAATGTTACATTAAAATGCATTAATGTGTTACTGATCACTGAAGTGATTTCTAAGTGTTTTTGCTGAGCTTCTTTGTGCTCGAGTAAAATGGGCATGCACTGTACCGGATTATATATCCAAAATAATCGATTTTTAATCAAATCAGAAATCGAATCAAATTGCAAGCTTGTGAATCAGAATCAAATCAGATTGTGAGACTGTGAACCGGCTTTGCTGGTCTGCTGGTCTTTCACACATGATTCACACGTTTGTGTCTCTGTTGTTCTTCTCTCAGGTACTTTTGCCAGCTCCTGGATGGTCTTGAATACTTGCACAGCCAAGGAATTGTACACAAAGATATTAAACCAGGGAATTTGCTGCTCACTACAGACGGGGCGCTGAAGATCTCTGACTTGGGTGTAGCCGAGGTGAGACGCTTTTATTTAAATGATTAACCCTATAAATCCTGATATAAGAGGCTTTTATGCCTCATATAGTCTGATATACTGAGAATATGGAGGAAAAAACACCTCACTCGAACTGAGCAAACATATGCAATTTGCTGCAGATGCTGATATTTCTATAATGAGGTGCTTGTGATGTAATCCAATGAGATCTTTATAACAGTGCAGCAGATACTTACATAAAGTGATCTAAATATCAGCGGTCACTCTATCTCCAGCAATAATAAGATGAGATTGAAATGCTCCAAACATATAATGCAGTGATTGAGAGCTGAAGAAATAAAGGCTCCTCAGAAGATGTGAGATGTTCTGGAGGCTTGTGAAGATCATTCCTCCGCTGAGGAACAGTGAAAGTAAAGCTTCTGGAAACAAACGCTCCTCAAAAGATCCTGAGGATCAGATTTGAGACTCTAAAACATGATTGATGGAGAATCAAGTAAAGCTGAGCTGCTTCAGTCCAGTAAGTGTTCATCTGGAGATATTACTGACGTTATTCTGACCTTTACTTGATCAAAATCAGTCAAGATCTGACACGAGAAGCTCCAGCTGAAGCTGAACGCTTGTACAAGTACACTAAAAGAGCTTTGACTGGATTAAATGCTCTAAACTATCAATCAGAGACAGAAGACATGCAGTAGATCGAGTGTGAAACAGCAAAGTATGATCATGTTTAGAAATCCATTTCCAGGTGTAAAAAATAAGGCTTTAAAGGGTTAAAGCAGCAGTCGGATCACTCAGGATCCTGTAGTAAACACTGAAGGAGGACTCGTACATGGACTCGGTGCGTGTTTGTTTTCCCTTTTGAGCTGACTCTTTGTGTTGATCTGACCTTTGACCCCTAGGCGCTCCACCCGTTTGCGGAGGACGACACGTGTCGGACGAGTCAGGGGTCGCCAGCGTTCCAGCCTCCAGAGATCGCCAACGGCCTGGACACGTTTTCAGGCTTCAAGGTGGACATCTGGTCTGCTGGGGTCACACTGTGAGTTCCTCCAGACACCGTCAGCAGCGCAGCTTCATGCTGATGAAGAAACACAGAGCGCTCAGGCTAATTAGCTCAGATTACGTCTGCGCCTATTACATCATCTGAAAGCTGAATAAATAAGCTTTCCATTGATGTATGGTTTGTTAGGATCGGACAATATTTGGCTGAGATACAAGACCGTGAAATTAACAGCTTTAATAAGGAAAATAACTTTTATTATTATAATTCTTAGTCACATGATATTGCACAAACATCTTCTGGAGAACATTTACATGATCTTTACTAGTAACAAATGAGGCTAAAACAAGAGGGGAGAGATTAAAATAGAATCACCAATGAGTTTCTCATTCTTTTCAAAATCTGTCACATATTTAAATGACCGATTAAAGAAAAATATTTGATGTGAAGTGAGTTTACCTAAATCAGAAACTGAGAGAGTAGCCTAAAAATGTATATTTATGGACAAAAATAAAAAAGAGTTGGAAGATATATTCCTTGTATCTTATCAAATGTATCAGTATTGTAACAAATAATATCTGTTACATTTAGGGGGTGTGCGATATTGACAGAAAATAGTATCTCGATATTTTCTGGGATTTTATCGATGACGATAATTAGAGTATATTTTGCTGAGTGTGTTATTGTGCTGGTATCTTAAGCACTGCCATGGACAGCTGACTCCTAATGTTTTTAATATTCTGTGTGCTGGTCAGTTCATACTGATAGAAATTAATCTTTTCCAATAAGTTTAAACTGATTTTTGCATTTTATGGGCATTTTTACCTTCATAAAGCCATTTTTTCTAAAAGCGTCCGTTATCTTTTGAGTCAAATTCTTACGTTTAATCAGTGAATTAGAATAATAAGACATCTGGGCTGTTACCGAGCAAATTAAATCAACACAGAAGCTGCATCTGAAGCTGCATTTAGATGTGTTTACACACTGTTTAATGCAAGACATGAATGCATTTAACCTGCAGTTACACATGCATAAATAATGTTTTGATATATTAAACATAAAACCTTGAATACTGATATTTGAAATGAATTAAAACATGAAAAAAATCAAAAGAAAGAAAAAGCCGAAATGTGAAATTAAAGCCGCCAGCAGGTGGCAGCACGTCACTGTTAATAAGTGAGTCGTTGCGATTGAACCGAATCATTTAAACACTTGATTCATTCAGGAACGAAACACCGTCGTGTTGCTCAGAGACACAGAACAGCGCTGTAGCTGTATTCGGGATGAGTTTTGTTGGAGAAATAGAGCAAAAACTAGCAATATGGCGTCTAAAACGTAAGTCTCTTAATTAACTTATTGTGTATTGAATGCAATGTCATTTTTGGAGAAAAACGGCACTCTTCGTGTTAAATTGAATAACTATATGAAGTGGTATAAATATATACATTTTCTGCCATCATGTCTTGAATTTGTGATTAAACATAAAACCTTGAATACTGATATTTGAAATGAATTAAAACATGAAAAAAATCAAAAGAAAGAAAAAGCCGAAATGTGAAATTAAAGCCGCCAGCAGGTGGCAGCACGTCACTGTTAATAAGTGAGTCGTTGCGATTGAACCGAATCATTTAAACACTTGATTCATTCAGGAACGAATCACCGTCATGTTGCTCAGAGACACAGAACAGCGCTGTAGCTGTATTCGGGATGAGTTTTGTTGGAGAAATAGAGCAAAAACTAGCAATATGGTGTCTAAAACGTAAGTCTCTTAATTAACTTATTGTGTATTGAACTCAATGTCACATTTGTAATCACGGTCATTTTTGGAGAAAAACGGCACTCTTCGTGTTAAATTGAATAACTATATGAAGTGGTATAAATATATACATTTTCTGCCATCATGTCTTGAATTTGTGATCATTCTAAATGCATTTTAACAGACTGAATCATGCAGTGAAAGAACACACACTAAATGCACGCGCACTAGTCTAGACTTCACGTGATGTATGCGTGCACTCTGTAGCGATGTTTTCAATGGTTTTTGCAAAATACTCGATAATGTCAGATCGCACATCGTTAAACAACAATTGCGATATTATCGCAGACGAGATATATCGCACACCCCTAGTTACATTAAATGATTTGGGGGTTTAACTATATGGGAGTGTAAATTAGACCAAAACTGCAGAATGGAAAAAAATTTATATATTCATGTTTCAATCCTCGAGACCACAAAATGTACATGAGCTGGAAACATATTTAGACAGTTACATTTGTGCAAACTTTGCTTTTCTCCCGATCTGCATTGTCAGTATGGGCTCCCAGTGAGATCGACCTCTAGAAATAATTTTGTTGTTTTGCTGAAAATGTTGGCGGATATGTTCATATCTTATTTTGAATCACAGAGAGAAAGAACTACAATCCCATGAAGCATCGCAAATGATGTAATTGAATTAAAAGTGACAGAAAATGATAAAACACAGAAAAGTCGTTGATTATATCTGTAGAGACGATATATTCAGAGTTCATCACAAAATATGCATATGTTTAAGCATGTATTTATTCCTCGCTGTGTCTTTGATTGGTGGAGTTTTCTGCACTGCATCATGGGTAATGTAGTTTTCCCACAGTGACTTCTGCTGCCAAATGCATTTTAAAAATAAGCTGTGGAGCTGAACAGAGATTGTCTGATGGGTGTTTTCTGACGTGGTCTAAGCTGAGAGCTGTGTGTCTCTCCTCACAGATACAACATAACCACGAGCCTGTACCCGTTTGAGGGGGACAACATCTATAAGCTATTCGAGAACATTGGGAAGGGTGACTACACTGTTCCTGAGGAGTGCGGCCCGCTGCTCTCGGACCTGCTGAGAGGTGAGCGACGAGACGTGCTCCGATCTATTCGTGTAGAGCATTTCTCAATGCACACGCTTCACAGAGACTATAGTGACTTCAACAGAGAGCAGTTATGATGATCTGAGCGGTCCTCTGGTTCGAGATCTAACTCTGTTGTGTTTAAAGTGCATATTAGCAGTGCTGCAGAGCAATTAAGACAATTAAACATGTGATTACAGCACTGAGCAGCTCTAACGCTATTAAATTAAAGATGATGTAGCACAGAGCATAAATTAACAGTGGAAGTAACTAAAACTTAAGTGTGCAAATAACTGAAGGATATATCTATTTGATAAATGAAGTTAACCAACTAACATTATACATACTCTTTTGGTTTCTGTACCCAATATTTTAAAAAATGCACAAATACAATGAAAAATACTCTGTATCGGCAAGAACCAAAATATAAATTAATATAAAATAATTCATTTTGCTAAAATATTTGTTGTTGGACATTAAATGTGTCTTTTGTAGATTTTTAAGCCTGCATATAAGTGCATTTTTGCTGTAAGTGGACTATTGTAATGGGTCAATCAAATGTAAGCTAGTACAGTACTAATTACTATAAGCTCAAATGTGTTAATGTGTGTTTCTTATAGCTGTTAAAATATAGTAATTTTCTTTTTTCAATTCAGTGATTTTAATGCTTTAAAGAGCCATTTTAGATTGTGATGTTTTGCTATCTGTTCTGCAAGCTATAAAAGGGACAGCTGTCATAAAACCTGAGAGAAAGGCTGCATGGCTAGAAACTGTGGAGAAAAAAGAAAAGACAAATAATAGTATGTGAGACAGTGGTAATATCTGTACGTTCCTATTGATCAGTGTTAGAGGAACTCTGCAGACTGCCTTCAGTATAAGCTGTTTTTAGAGTAACGAGCAAGATTTGAGTTCTGAAACTTACAGCATGTTTTTATAGTACAGTGACCTCTTATGTCAAAAGATCAAGGGAATTTTGGTTTCTCAGTTCATGACTCCTTTAATGAAAATAAGTGAATAGTAATATAATATTTATTATACATGGTATAACATGTTTTAATGTCTAGTATATTTCTAAGATCAAATGCATTCTGAGTTCAAGATAAAGACATTCAATTCAAATTTAGGCCAATTTCTTAATTAAACCTCCTTTCATTTGTGTGCAATGAGCATTGTTTTTCATGGCTGTGCTGTAGTTCATATGTTTGACCTTTAGATGGCGCTGTGGCATTAATGTTCAGCACTGACGCTGGATCTATCTGTGTTTAAGAGCTTTATTATCACAAGCTCTGAACAAACACTCACACTCACTCTCACACACACACACACACACACACTCTCTC